CTTGAAAAAGAAAAAGCAACCATGTAGAATGTTATCTATGCCAATAAAACAAATAGGCAATGTGTGCAGAATATTCACACATTATTTCACAAACTATATACATAGTTTATCTACATTAATTCTTTTTTACCTTACCACATCTATACAAAAAAAAAAGAAACAGTTGTTTCTTTGCCATTGATTTTTCTACACATTTTTCTTAACTATAATAGTTTCTGAAATGTTCATAGTGACAAAAAGATTAACTTAAGCTCTTGAACAACTATTGAAAAATACAAAAATAAATGCTTTGAGTGAACAGAATAGTTTAGAATTCTTTAAATACAATCACATTGAAATTCATGTGTTTACTAGGAAAAAACAGAATAAAAATAGTTACCTAATTGAAATATTTCCCAAATTAGAAAATAAACATTGTCATTTTAAAATGTATTTTGAAGATATGTTCAAACATTAAAAATCAATTACATTAAATAAAACTTTTATTAGAAAGTTATATATAGCGTGCATATCAGGCAGTACTTGACCAAGATTGAATCAGCGGTCATTAAAACCATTTTTATACAGATTTTAAAGTTAAAATGTCTCAAAGCATCACTATTAATAATAGTTTAAAAACAATTTCTAATCATCTTTGTGTCCCTTTATTTTGTTAGTAAACAATGTTTTATTCAAGTTGTTAGTGTTTTGTGTACAAAAGAAATTTAACAGAACACAAATGAAATTGAAAAAAAAAAAAATTCATTGATATTTACAAAAGATGTGTCTGTGTTGAGAGTAATAACCAGTTACAATCAATAAGTTTAACCTTTCATGCCATTATTAGCTAAATTTTAATCTGAAATCTGAAGTGTATAATATTCAGTCTATGTTGTTAATATTCTCCACTGAATGAAAAATATTGACAAAGAAGAAAACTATTTTGAAATATAAATATTTTCATCATTAGATTACAGAATTATTGATGTACCTATAAGACAGACACACATGTAGGAAGGAAGAGAAAAAAGGTGGATAGAACTGAAAAAAAGCATAATCTTTAAAAAAAATTTATTTTTTTCTTTTAGTATCAAATTCATTCTATATATATATTTTCTTTTTTTCAAATTCATCCAAACAAAATTTTAAACATAGTACAGATCATAAATGCTAAGATTTGAATGGTAATTTTAATTGGTAATGAAAATATAAAATAACAGATTAAAGAATTACTGGATGAGACATACACACTATGAAGGCTAGAGAATGTGTTCAAAACAAAATAAGGATGCCATTTCCAATAACTCAGAGTAAAATCTAATTTTAATAATAAAATATAGTTAAATAAATATAACATAAAAGGCAACATTTGAAGAACAATTTGTTGAAAACTTAAAGAGAAAGTGAATTTTTCCAAATGCTACAAAAATCTTTGGCAGTGAATTGTGTAGGAGAATAATGATTGCATATGAGTTTTTACAATTTTAAATAGAAATTTGCAATGTGAAAATTTTGAAAGAATTTAATAAAGTTACCATGTAACATGACATTAACTAGCAACTTGCACATCTTTTTGTGGGAATATATACATTTTATTCAATATAGAATATTAGCAGTTGTCTTGAGAATTTGAGAGGCAAGAAGGCAAAAAATGCCACCTACTGCAAAACAGTAACAAAGAAACACTCAAGAGTAGAGGAAACAAAACAACTATAGAGATTATAGTGATAGATACAAAGGGAATGAGATATTTAATACAAAGATAGGGTGGGTGTTGCTTGCAGGAAAATGCAGTACAGCTAACATTCTGGAGTTACATACTGTCCTCTCCTCAACATTTTATCTATGCTTCCTTGCACAAACAATTATCCAATGAAAGTTTCCAATCCTTGTTGTCATGACAACATGCATCTAACAAATAATGCTATGAGGTTGCCCACACAATTCTGTAGGAGAAATTTTGAAATTGATGATTATGTGTACACATACATTTTATATACACATCTTAAATATTAAGGGTAAAAAAAGGTGAGAGGACAGGTTCATATCTCCATATCATTTTCATAAAAAAAATCTGATACAATATAGTTTTTTTGCACTTTTAATTAAAAAAAAAAAAAAAAAAAAAAAAAAGTGTACTGAAAATTTATTTTCTAATTTTATTAAAAATTAGAAAAATCTAACAGATGATGTTTAAATTATCCCATAATGTCCATGCATAAACTAATAACTTGTAGTTATTGACCATTTGTTTTCACTATAAATTAGTTCGTTACTTGGGACTTTAGTTTAACAAATGCTGTTTCAACATAAATCTTCCCAAAATAAAAACAATAAAATCTACTGGTGACAATCTAAGAAAGTGAAAAATCTATTACAATATAAATAAATATAAATAAATAGTTCAGTTGTTTTTACTCACCACAGTAAATTTACTGATTAAAAGACAAGTAATATTGTCTACAATTGTAAAATGAACTATATTATTCAGACAAGTATTCTTATGCATAGAGAATATATTGCAGTCTGGAGGAATATTTGGTACTCAGATCTAGAAATATCTATTTGAAAAAACATGTTGGATTATGGCACAGTGAAGAACGATTTTCAAAGTTAAATGAAGAAAGCTTTAGTCATTCTTGACAGGATTGACTAATTGGGTTATTATTGTAGAATAAATCACCTAAAATAAAGTAAAAGATAAGAGTATTTACCTTTAAAATAAGTAAAGCTTAAATAAATACATTAAATTAAAAAGTGTTATTTTTATTCTTGATATCTAGAAAAAAAGTATTAAAGGCAAGTACTTAATAATTTTTTTTATAAGGAGTGTCAAATGCAGGTATGAAGCAAGCAAGCTAACGGCAAACCTAATTTTGTGCCAACTGCTGCATGAGATGGCAGTCTGCATTTGAAATATTTGTGGTGCGGGCAATGTACTTGTAAGGTAAAAGGATGTTGGTAGAAACATCTCTCCAGCAATTATAAACATCCGTCTATCAAACCACAGTATTTTATTTGATTGAGAGAGCCTGAGAAGATTAATGCTGGTCATCTGTTGGCAATCATAACCTTAACTATCACTGTGTGCATGTGTGTGTATAAAAACCCTCCCACCAACACATAGTATAATACATTAAATAAGATATTCAAGATTCAGACAAATAAGAAGAGAAAAAATTTAACCTAAAATGAATGAAATATAAAAAAGCTGTTCATGCATAATCACAAAGTTGATGAAGTGCTTTATTAACCTTGATTTGATAGAAATTTTAAAATAGAACTTGCAACTCAACTGTTTACTGAGGTAAGTTACATCCCAAGGAATTATGTTTACATTATCAGAAAATCTATCTTCTGAGTTTGTATTGTTTTGCTAGGATACATACCAGTAAACATGTATCCACTAAATAGAACATTTATAGCAATAAGAAATATCAGTAAGAGTCTAGTATGTGAGTATGTTGATATTTATTTAGCTAAGTTTGAGACAAGTCTATTGCATATTACAGTAAAGCAGTGTGAAAGAGTCACTCACTAACAATAACCTGCAAAACTATCTTACCAATCCCAGCTAAAAATGTGTACTTAGTTAAAAATCCTTGTTAATGCAAATTTGTTTAAACATCATATATTCCTTTTAACTTTGTACCTAAGGTGTTTTGCTTTTGTAAAAATTGTATCGCTGTAAGAGCCAATTATCTACCTTTTGGTTGAGATGAACAACGGTCAATGTGATGGCCACTTAGTGACATCAATTAACTTTCTGGAGTCAAACAGAGCTTTTGCTTTTTTAGCACAGGCAAAAGCTAAATCGGCCTGTCCAGTCAGCTCATAAGCCCATAGCACTGTTTTCCTGTTGGGAAAACACCAGAGACATAGAAGATAAATTACTCAAATTATACAAACTATCACTGGCTAAGGATCTTCTCACTGGAAAATAACTATGACTTGCTGTTTTCCCCATTGGAAAATAGGTCCTCACTAGAGACATTGAAGATAAATCTGGCCCATTCAAATTCTCATTGGGTAATATAAATATGGATTCTCTAGAAACAGAAGAATCCTCTTGCAGCTCAAAATGTAAACCAATAAATTGTATATGTAAGAAGTGTCCATTAAATTTTTGATGGAAAACTTTCACTTATATGCTTACTTATTAACAAAAAACAAAACAATGAGGACAGAAAAACTGATTATGTGATTTTTTTTTTTGGGGGGGGGGTTATTGTTTTTAATCATTTCACTCTAAGCAAAGCAATAAAGCCACTAAGACACAGGGACTTACTGAGTTAATGAGAAAAAGAAAACATTATTTAGAGAACAATAAAAGAACAAGAATTTAGACAGAAGATAATGATTGATATTGCTTTTAAATGTTTAAAGATCAAAGTTAACTGGGAAGCAAAAATCTGAAAGAATTTCACAAGCGACAAAAGCAAAAGAAGAAACTGCTAATATAGAACTTATGGTTACATGTAGCCATTTCAGCTATAAAATGGTTTATTTTGTATTTTTAATTCATTTTTAAATATAAGAATTATAAGGCATTATGGTGATATTATGCACAAAGCTATATAAAAGGGTTTTTTCTGAGCAGAACATATCATTTGTTAAATACATTCAAAATTCCAATACTTTCAACATTTGTTTCTTTATTTTAATAAGAGCATTCAGAATCTTAACATTTTTCCTTTTTGAGGGGGACTAATTAACATGATATACATCTATTATCAACTAGTAAGGGGAAATGCTGGTACAGACACATCCATTTTTAATAAATTGAGTATATATCAAAATTTAATGAAATTAAAAGAAAACTGGGAACCTATATTTTAACAAATTAGAAATCAAAGATTATATTTTACAATTTCTTGTTAATTCTATCCAATTTGGGTTACTAAGATGTATATTGAAAAAATATCACTTTCATTTTTTGAGGATTGGGCATTGGTCATTTTGAGACAATTGCTAATTAATCCATTTTTATAACAAAAATTGGGTGAAGAGCAGTTACTTACACTGTATGATGTAGGCGGCCAAGAGGTTGGCATCAGAAGGGGGACACAGTAAGCGGCCATGATGGAGATCTCGGCGAAGTTGAAGAAATAAGAAATATCTGTAAGTGGAATGAAACCAAAAAATTATTTTAGCTAAAAAGATCAAATAAAATTTCCTGTTAATACCAAAGATTGTTAACAGTTGAAGTATAGGTCTTTTTCTGTTTATCACAAAAAACAAAAAATAAAATAGTAATAGTATAATAGCTTGTGTAGACCAAATAAGGCACCAAGAAGATTATGAGGAGGAGAAGGATGAAGAGATTTCCATAGGCACTATTAGTTATGATCTTGCAGACCAACAATAAAATGCAGTCCTATTAAATGAAATAAATGAAGACATGGTTGCAGATGGTCAGCAGAACGAAGAAGATTCCAAAAAATCCAATGAGGACATAATATTGGAAGAAGAATACCCTAACTACATCATAGGATGAGCAAGATCAATAAAGAAACACATCAAGATCTCAGGAATCAGAGAGAGAAAAGTAATGCAAAGAAATACTGGAAATAAAAGCATAAAAAAAGCACAAAATCTAGAAGGAGTATGAAACTCTTAGGTTTCTGAAAGATGCAGTGATATATTTTCCTGTGAGAGATTGCTTGATTTATATATCAGAAAAAGGAGAGATAAAAAGGTCTGCATGAAGTAGCAAAAACAGTAGTAATATTTATCATTAGCAGATATACTAAGTGACTTGTGAATACCACTGAATACTCTTCAACACATCACCATTTTAGCATTTCTTTTAAAGTGAACTTATTTAGTTCAAAAATTCTAATCGGAAAATGAAAGACAGAAAGAAACAGAATTCCCAGGGTTGAGGACAGAGATACACACACCCAGGAATAAGCTGGAATTCATGTATGTGCAAATTGATATATATATAGTGTGATCCCACATAGGATAACACTAAAATTTCTTTCTATATGGCAAAAAAAAAAAAAAAAAAAAAGAAAAAAGGTTCTCTCAGTTGAGACAGTTATATTTCTGTATACATTCTGTTCTCATTTCTAATATGGGTTTAAGAAAAAGATACATCTACAGTTAACATTTTCATCCACATCCTTTTCTTGGTTATACCAATAACCTTGAAGAATTTTCAACAAGCATTATCTATCTCCTGTAAATTATCTATCTCCCTTTCAAACTTTGAATTCCAACAACATCTCCCCACACTATTTACATTGTTTGAACTATCGTTCTTATCTTTGTTGCCATATTTATCACAACGTTTCAGGTGTTGTACGCTCCGGCCTTCTTCTGCAGGTGGTTGGAATGTCAAACTGAACCCTTTATTTCGCTCAGTGGGGTAGACTGTTCTGGTTCAGACATTAGGTTTATAATACCCAGAAATTCATACACAGATGGCATGGTGGATAAAGGCATTAGTTAGATCCAGTGACAGGATCCAAAGAGTGTGAGTTCAATACCTGGTTAAGGCAGTGGAGAACTTGGAGAGAGGAATTAACAGGAGATAACTGATGGCTGATATCCATTAGACATGGCATGTTGAACTAGAACAGTCTACCCCAGTTCGACATTCCAACAACCTGAAGAAGAAGGCTGAAACGTTGTGATAAATATGGCAATAAAGATGAGGACAATACCTCATCTCAGAAATATAGACAAATACTGAATATCTCCCCAGCACAAAAAGTAGCATGGCTGAGAACATTGTTATACTCTGATTCACTCCTCATGTCGGCTGAATGTGAATGCTAAGCAAAACACAATTTTTTTTTTTTTTTTTTTTTTTTTTTTTTTTTTACACAGAGACTCCAAGCATCACATCCAGTCCACACAAATCCTCACAATAAAATACAATAACCAATCATGACTGTTCCTGCCAGATAAAAAGGATTACCCTGGGGACTTAAAAGGAAGCTTCATGTAATGACTGACACCTGTCAGCACACAGGCATGCTGTTGTTGTGACTGCCCTGATGATCTCTCATCACTAACGTAAGTTTGCCTAAGCTTCAATAATCTCACCCAACTCTTCACATGCAGAACATGACTGACAGCCCAGCTTCACCACCACCAGGCTCTTGACACTAACACCATGATTTCTAACACCTAACATTTTCACCATCCTGTTCCAGGACCCCCTTATCATGATCCAGTCTCATTCATACCACATTCAACCAGAATCAAATGGCTTGACCCACTCCAGACCTCCCTAGTCATCAGCACTGTGGTCTTGATCTCTGAATTGACCACCCCAATTGCTTCTCTCATCATAACCATGACCTCACCCAAGTTTCACTAATCTCACCCAGCTCTTCACATACAGAATACAACTGACAGAATCAGATAAAGACCTTCCACTCAATCAACATTCACTAACTACATCTAATCTTTCATCACCACCACTATACCCTCAGCAATCAATGCACCTTACCACAAATCAACCCACCACCATAGCCTTGACTGACCAGCCTTACCAGGCAATTTGGCTTTGACATCTCAGCTTTACAAGACTGCCTGCCCATCAAACAACTCACAGATGTTGATTTTAACCTTAAAGAAAACTGTGTGTCAGACCCCACCAATGGCTAATTCACTTTGGACCTATCCTCTGACCACAACTGTGACCTCAGCCAGCTAGCCCAAGAAATCAGTCAACTCCCAGCCCTACCGACAACACCCTTACATCTAATCATTTTCCTGACCAACAGCAACTGAATAAGCACACAAGCAATTTTTGTCAAATTTCAAACAACTATATATATATATTTCAAATTTTAACAAATACATACTGTTGAAAATTTTAATCCTTGTTTGTTCCTTTCCTTTGCAACCAAACACTTGTTATGACAACATGATATGGTAATGCAACACCATATGAATCATTTCTATACTATCACAATAGTTACAAGGAAAAAAAAGAAATTAAAAAAGGAGAGGATACAGAAAAATAGTTACAACATTACTGAACTGGTTTTGTGATTGTCAAAACAAACAAGGTACTTTTTTTGTTGCCCTTTGAGCCAATCCATTGATCTTGCAACAATGAAATGTAGTCAGCCAGAAATAAAGTAAAGAAAAATAAAGTGATTGAAACAGACTATAACCAGATCAAACATGTTTTATATTTATCTATAAAATCTGATTGAGCAATAAAAAGATCTATATTTGTTATGGCCCAGGTTAGGACCAAGGAAGAACAACACAAACACAAGAGTAGAAATAACGAAGATATATTACACAAAATAATAATACAAGATGTGGAAGTTGTTAGTACGACTGTCAGTCTGGTTTGGAGTGAACTACTATCGGCTCGACTCGATTTGACCCTCTCTCTTGAGAGGCGTAGTATACATAGTTGTTAGGAAGAGTTTATTCTGGAGTTATAGGTAAGGACCCATGATTCCATGTCAGTCCTTATCAATAATATCTTATTGGGATCAGAAAAAAACTTTGAAAATATTTTATCTTCTACCTCTGATATGGCAGATTTATTATCAACAGAAATTTTCAAAACAATTAAATGAAAATTCAAATCATACAACTGAAATTCCTCCCTTAATTTCAGATGTTGATAGAATGGAAATCTTAGTTTCCTATTTCAAAGTTTCAAACTAACCATTTTCATCTGCAAAAAAACTAAAAAAAAGTAGGAAAAGTGCTCAAGTCTAAATGATACTTTGTTTTGTTTATACATTTCCTAGCAAAATCCACATCAGTATACATGTACTTAACCTTGTGATGTCACTTATGATACTGATCACACCAGCTATGTCCTTTGGTCAGCAACACTGAATGTATTAAAATTTACATACATAAAAAAGAAAGAAAAACTCACAGTAAAAAGAAAACTTATCACAAACAACTCATTAGTATTCTTTAATTATTTTAAATTAGTAATTCTGTGTGCAGATGTATGCTTTCAAAAAGATACTTTGAATACTATATTATCAGCCATTTTGAACATGGTCATGTACTTGGTATTTCATAATAGTAGACAAGGAAAGAAAATGATGCTGTGAAAGTTTCCATGTTATAATCTGATAGACATAATGATGATAGAATTACTGACAAAAAACTTGGGATTAATTAACTGCTTACATTCCTAAGACTTTTTACAGGTAGCCCTCTACTCTAGCATTAATAATTACTGTTCACTTGACACTTTATTTTCTCAATAAAATAAATTATTTAATCAAGAACATAGCTATATAATTCTAGTCAAACATAAAAAGTAAGAACAAGTTTAATGTATATAAATCAAACAATAATGTAAATCTGTTTTGTCTTTATATTTTCATAAAGAGTAGAAATTTTTAAATCAAGTCCATATTAATTTCAAGGGTCAAATAGTAGCACAGAGCCATATATTGGGTTGATGAAAAAGTTCTCAGTAAGGGAAATCATATGTCCCTTTGAAATTTACTAAACTGTTTATTACTTCTAGTCAGACAAGTGCACACACACACACACACATATATATATATATATCACATCTGAGAAAATAATCTAAGATAAAAAAAATTGAACTGAACCTCAATTTATGGAAGAGAATAGTGATTAGTATTCAAACACTTATCTTTCTTTTCTTGCTCAATATAGTAATAAATCAATATTAATGAAAATATATTACAAAAATTCAAAATCAACTAATTTATAGCTAGATCCAGTGGCAAAGTAGGTAAAGAATTGGGAAATGGTGGTGCTAAACATCATCATAAAGTACTCCATGATGGTCCTCAGGTATTTGCCATCTTGCCTGCAGAAATAGTGAGGAAACACATCTTGGACTTCATCTATGAAGAGATCAGTAATGTCCTGAAACTTTTCATTCAGAATGTTATTCCTGATGCTGTCACCTATACCGAGCATGCCAAGAGGAAGACAAACCACATCTATGATGGTGACAATGCTCTCAAGAGTCAAGGTAGAACTTCTACACAATCTAACAAAATACTGCTATATTTGATGCTGTTTTGATCAAGATATAACTTAGGAGATAAGCAGGGAGCAACACTTAAGAGAAGAGGAAAAAAAGAACCCAAAAGTCAAACAAATATTGTCACACAGTTGAATATACTAACACAC